GATGATCTCTCAAGGAGCCTCAAGGTACTCTCTCTCTCTCTCTCTCTCTCTCTCTCTCTCACACACACACACACATACGTGCGCTCATGTACATGCCTGTTTTGTACTACTGCTGTTTGCACACCTCTGTCTCTCAAACTGCTGTTTCATACACTTAGCAGGTGAACATCTCACTGATTGTAAACGATAGTGAAGCAGAACAGTGCGTCAAGGCCCTTCACTCCACATTCTTTGAGTCAGGCGTTCTCTCCAGCCTTGATGCTACTAACGGTTCGGGAGCCACCCATGATTGCTCCCCTTTTTGACACACCCTTAACGATTCTTATAAACTGTGCTATCTATCATTCATAGTCTCATCCCATCATCCTCCAAGTAATCAGAGATATACACCCAGGTGCCTGTATGTGGTGGGAATATGGTAATTAGCGCAACTTAACCCAATGGTAGCATGTCTTCAAGTCAATTCTTCTTGTTGAATTCCAGTTTCTGGTATTCCACTTCAACTTGTGGGACAAGGGATTTACCTGGAAAGGGAAAAAGTAGAGGATTTTTCTTGTTTCTTTTGCTGGTGAATTTGTACCCTTTTGGGAAAAGGTTTCCCGTCTTGTAAGTTTGGAGGTTTGTCACTATATTGATATCTATCGCTTTTGTTTGCTATTTGATGTTATGCAGCCATATTTTTACTGAGTTTGTGATCATTTATGCCAAGCTTAAATAAGGCTTGCATGACTTGACTTGTTACTGTTCAATTTATATTCAACGACAAGTCTCAGGAATCTGAGGTAGCTAGATGCATAGAAGGATCTCTTGCATTTATGCCTCAAAAAGAACAAAGTTTCAAGGTATGTTGATGATGATATTCTGTTGGAAATCTCAGTAGTTAGCAAAATAAGAAACCATTTCCTCTATTGATCGTCGTTGACTCCATTTTCTTTCGGTGAAAGTGTGGTAGGATTTCCCTTTTGATGGGTGCTCCACCTTGAATATGTAGCTACTAGAAAATCATGGGCATCGATTACGAGCTTAAACGTTTCTACAAACTGAAAAGAATGCAATGGAAAAAGAATCCACTAAAAGCTCCGTTTAATGAGTGGGAAAAGACATGAGTATGATGGTGGCTCCTGTTTTGGATCGCCATCCAACGGAGGCTAGGGTTGGGCACGGCATGGATTTTTACAACTAGGCTTGGCCCAGTCTAGGCTTGAAAAACCGATCAAGAACTACCTTGCCCTATAGTACTAAGTTGTTGCTGGAGCCCAGGCTGAAACTGGGCACGGACTAGAAGCCTGTGGGTCAGCCATACATGATTGGCAACCTCGAACTAAAAGAGCTGATTGGACCAGGCTTGCGAACCCGCCCATGCTTGGGCCACATCAGGCCCAAACTTCTCAAGTCAATCCAGGCCTTGACCCGGCCCATGCGCCTAATAGGGTTGCCTGGGCAGGTCACATGGAAGCCCCAAACCCTGATTGGCAGAGCCCTACATCCAACGCATGTGTTGGATGACGATATTCAATGGGCACTTATGCACCCATGATCACGAGATAAAAAAAAAACAGAACAAAATCTCATAACTGGGTTTCTTTCCATCTACACGAGAATTTCCAACGATTATAACCTCTTATGCTAGCTAAAGCAAGATAAAAATTGGTATGTTCTCAACTGTTTTATAAGTAAATGCTCAAACATTCCCTATGGAACCTAGAACAAATGAAGGTATGCTGTAATTTGGCCACTTCAATCACTTAAGCTCAACAACCTAAATACTCCTTGTTCTGAGTTCCAAAACTTGTACATTTAAAGAAATATCTTGTTTTGAGTCTGAAACCTAGTACAAGCAAATGGGTATTTATATCTTTTAGCTTGGGTGACCTAGCTAAGGCAAAATTACTGAAAGAGATAGAGAGAGAGAGAGAGGAACAGGGGAGGGCCGAGAGACGAGGGAGGCCGTGAGGGAGAGAGATGGTGGCAAGAGGCAAGAGAGGTACAGAGACCTCCATCTCTTGAGAGAGAGCCCTGCAAGGCCTCCATTTCTTGTGTGTGAGAGGGAAAGCGAGAGAGATGTTGTACGGCTCCTTGTTTTTACGGGTCTGACAAATTCAGAGATAAAAGAACTCTTATGGTGAGTTAAATTTGAAATTTAACTCAATATATGAATCATGAGATCAATAGTGATCCATAAGGTCTCACACCACCATTTATGGTAGGGTCCTATAGGATCACTACTCTTTTGAGATAAACTATTTTGATTACTCTTTAGAGAATATATTGCTTGTATTTTTCTTTTTTTTGGTACACAGTTTTTAAGGGAACTAGTAAGTAAAGTTATATGGACAATGTTTTCTTGAGAAGTTTTTTTTAAAAAGATAAAATGCAAATTAATATCACTTCCATTAAAAAAACTCGATTTTTTGAAGTTCTTTTGAAAAACTCGAGAGTTGTTAATAGAATCCAAAAAATCGGAGATTTTTTGAAAAAAATCGTGATTTAAACAAAAACTTGGTAACTAGGGATAGAAGAACAGAAGAAAGTCGTATTTTCTTCTTTATGATTTTCCAATATATTTTGTCATATAACGGAAGAAAGTCGTATTTTTGGGCCCCTTTCCTAATCGGTGGTTCCGCAACAGTATTGATAGCGATATCTGCCCACGTAGAACTCCCCATTCACTTGCCTAATTGGCTTCTTTATAAAAACCAACAAACATTTTTAATGCGGTAAACATTTTCGCCCCACACGAACCCAATTTTTCAGGGAAAAGGTTAGAGAGGGTACATCTCTTTGGGAGGCATGATCATTTTGGATGCGAGGCTAATAAGTGTGCTACTTCAATACGACTTTCTCATGAAAAATGCGAGCCTACGGTTGTAGCCGCATGATATAGAGGGCCTACTCACCATTCAAATCCATAGAGTTAGATGAACCCAAGACTTGAATGGTGACTCCTATGCTGACTGCAGCCGTCTAATCCATTGAATGGAGGGAGATGACTTGCATCTTATACCTTTGTAAAAATGTTTAAAATATTTTAAACGTTAAAAACATTCAATAGCTGGGGTTCCCTTTCCAGAAATGCATGAAGTTTCCAATTTTAAAGGGCACACCGACTATTACTCCCCGGCTTAGCGCTTTCATGGAGGCATTTCAGAACAAGGTTAGGCAGGCATTTCAGGCCAGGATAGAGAGAGAAGGGTGGGTCTGGTGCCAAAAACAAAGATTCATTGATTTATACAAAGGTGGGTAAGAAAGGGCAGAGCTCCATGATAACACGTAAATCCTCTATACAAAAGTAACAAACACTTCCTTCAATGCCTGGCCCCGACCATGCCTCGCCTTGCACAGAGAGAGAGAGGCCAGGCAGAGTGGGAAAGTCACTTGGGGAATTCACATTGCAAAACCTCACCAGGAGATGGAAAGACAATGGCAGTGGGGGTGGTGGGAGGTGGCAAGCCTGAAAGGAAAATCCCAGGATAAATTCACATTGCCGACCCTCGCAATAGAGAGGGAGGGAAGGATAAGTAGAGGGCTAAATGGGAAAGACATCACAAAACCTCGCCTTGAGATGGGTAAATGCAAAGCTCGCACACTGGAATTTCACATTACAAAACCTCACCTCGCAATCTCTCTTGTTTGCGGTCAGAGAGTACCGCTTGGTAGTGGCAGCGGAATCGCTAGCAGTAATCTCGATCAGGGGTGGGAACTGAAGGTGAGGTTTGCTGATGCTTGGTTTCTTTGCTCCCCACCACTACCTCTCCATGAGGGGAAGAAGGCTCCTCTCTCTCTTCAGATCGGTGGTGATTGAGAGAACCAGGGTTCATCTTCTGCACCTCTTCCCTCGTGTATATGAATATCTTCCTCACCATATTGCAGAACTCGCTGTTTTTTTTTTTTGTGAAAAAGAAAATCCAACAACAACAAAAAAAAATTAGACCAGAATAAGACATAAAAAGGCTGGATGAGTAAACAAAACTCAATAATTCTCCAAGAATCAGAAGTAGAACTCATAGTTGTGCATCTGGTGAATGCTCATTCTGAGATTTTTCTAAACCTTTGATCCTTCAAATGTCATATTTTTTTTATTTAAATATCATAATTATGAAAACCTAAAAAAGAAACTTCCCAAGGAAATATTACAGTGGGGACTCCTCCCATGGTTAACTGTACCATACAAAGGTGGACAATGGTCCATGGTACGTGAACATCAAAGGGACATCCACCATCCGTAACTTGATGATGGAGGGCGGAGATTAGCCACATCTGGGCAAATATCCACCATAGCAAACCGGAGTTATCTCTGCTGTCCATCGTGGGAACATAGTGCATGTCTCCAAACCATAGTACCATTTCCATACCCCTTTTATGGTATACTTTCCATTCTATTCCTTCCTCTAATATGATTGACAAATTCAGGGGAATAACCAAGTGATTAGTAACAAATCATAACCAAAGACTTTTTGAAGGGGGTTTTCGGTTTCTTACGGCCATGGATCGTCGCCAACGAGCATCAAGTCACCTTCATTATCAGTGTAAACAACAAGCCAAGCTTTGTTCGGAGACATGAGTTCCCCTCCAAAATCAAACATCTGATCAAGCTCAAGTGTGAGCTCATCATATCCTTTGAACTTTGTAAGGTCGACTGACCTTCCTAGAGCACTCCCCTGCTTGTGAACCTAAAATGAATACAGAGAAGAAATTAATAATATATTCTTGTTTCATTCAATAAAGCAAATATCTCTTTCAGTAAACTACTACAACAAGCAGCACCAGTAGAAATAAATAATAAATAAGAATTAAGATAAATGCAAGAGATCGCCACAAACCTTTGTGCAACTTCTAACTGCACCACTCTGAGCCTTGCACTGAGTTTCCTTAGAGGGATTGTGGTGGTTACAATACTGAGAAGGCTTCTCTTGCTCGCTTCCTCCACAGTAGCCATCACCTGACTTTGAGCACTTCGAAGGCTCTGAAATTTGGTCGGCTTCCGAGGCTTGTTGTGATGATCGATAAAAAGAAGGGCCTGAGTGCACTTCAGCTTCCTCACGGGCCTTGGTTTGCCCTAGTGCCTGTTCAGGAGCAACCGAATGGTTGAACAAATCGATCCCAAACAGTTTACAATTCCCATCTGATGGTCGAGCTCCCCCATTTGCTGCAATTTTACCATTTGAGGGCTCAAATTGGGGTTTCTTTGCTCCTCCATCGATTCCATTCGATGAGGGCATAAGAGACATTAGCCAATTCCCTGAGGGGCTATTGGATCCAAGATTATGCACAGGAGGATACCCTCCTAGTCCACCGTACCTAGGATTTCCTGTTTTTTGATAAGGAATTTCATTAATTTGTGAAGACATCTTCAAGTTAGGAGAAGTATCCTTCAATATCATAGGCCAAGGGTTTGCCTTTAAGTTGACTTTTCCTTCGTAGTCTTGTATCATGTGTTTCTTGAGAAGATTGGGGTCCTCAGAGCCAAAGCCATGAGGGGTTGCGTATGATGGGGGCTCATGCATGAAATGTGGCATCCAGTTTTCTGAACCCAATCTTTTCTGAGAGGCAGGTTCAGATTTGTCATCATCAAGCACCGAAGGCCCCCATGAGTTGAGCTTTTGGGGTGCATCTGAGTCACCTGTGTCAGTGAAGGAGTGCCGATTCATGGCTTCGTGGACCTGTGAAGCCCTGGGGAATATATAGGGTTGTGAAGAGTCCACTGGGTTTGATGAACCTGAAATAAACAAGAGTTATCATCCTCATATTCGTACTGAGCTGCAAACTACTAGCCTTGAGGGACAGGACTTTGTACATGGTTGAACTAAGTTGCCAACTGCATATCAGAGAATAAGAGAGGCCATTTTGCTCATATCTTTGCAAAACTGCTGCTACTGAGAGAAAGAGAGAGAGAGAGAGTTTTATTCCATTGACATTTGCTCAAAATTGGAACTACCAAAGGAGAGAAAGCAGTCATTCACATTTGTTCAAATTTGGAACTACCAAGGGAAAGGTCAAGTTTAAGTAACTATTTTTAGAGATGTGGAGATCACTATCTCATATTTGTAGGAAATTGCACCAACTACAATAGAAACAGAAGGGGCAATGAGGGTGAAATTCAGCTTGTGCAAATTGACGAGTACTTCCCTAGAGGGAGAGATAAGGAGAGAGAGAGGGAGAGATATATCGAGAGAGAGAGAGAGAGAGAGAGAGAGAGAGAGAGAGAGAGAGAGAGTGTAGTAAGTAATTACTACCGTTACCGTAGGAAGGACGGCTACACGTACGTACGTGGTAGTGGACGACCACCTATACTCCCGTACGTCGTTACGTTTAC